TAACTTGGGAGAGGCGGTCCCTCAAATAATAATTCTCTATTGGGTTTATGGTCTTTGGAGCTTATAATAATAAGAAAGTAAATTTTAGAGGCTCTTGATAACTACTAACTACTACTTTAACCATTGCTTTTTTTTTGTTGAAAATTTTAACATTTGGAATTGGGTAGAAGTGGAAAATATTCCTTTCATTTCATCATGTCATGTTTTCATATGAGTGTTGAATCTGATCTTTAAAATCCAAGAGTCATATCTGAAGCAATTTAAATACTTTGCAATACAGTTCAAAAACAAGTTTATAACCTGTGGATGAGGCTCTTAGAAACTTGGACAACCTGGTAAACAAGTTTGGATATTACCTTTCTACGTGAGAATAGGGAGGAGTATTGGATTTGTTTTGCAATGTGGAACTGATCTAGTGTCAAGATCTAGATAAGGATTTTAATGCAAAAATGATAGCTTGAACTGCTCCTCTACCACCAGTTTCCTATACGTTCTTAGCAAAAAACCTTTTGTTTCAGATTTTTCTCGCAAGTTTTCTGTCTCCAGATGTAAAACAAAGTTGTCTTGGTCCACACCTTTGTGAGAAGGGACAACAGCTAAAATTTGAAACTGGGAATAGAGCTTCACAAAGGACATTCCATATATTTAAAAGGGATCTAGGACAACTCAGAGCAGCTGACTCGCCGTGGCCATCTCGCCCTGGGACAACTCGCCCTGAGACAATTCTATGCGGGATAACTCAACATATTAAATGTTATCTGCCACTGTTTCTTCAACATCATTTTCATTTTTGTTCATGTCCACAAAAATGGATGTAATGTCGAAGAAATAGTGGCAGATAACATTTATCATATTGAGTTATCCTGCGTGGAATTGTCCCATGGCAAGTTGGCTGTGGCGAATTGGCCATGGGGAGATGGCTGTGGCGAGATGGCCATGGCAAGTTGTCCCATTCCGATTTAAAAGATTTCAACAATATGAATTTCAAGAAAAATTGCAATTCAGTGATCACATTCTTTACAAAATGTGGAAGGTACATTTAATGGAGAGAAAGTTAAGGCAATGAAGGAAGTGTTGAGTGAATACAACAATAACATGAATAATAAAGTTCTTGTTTATGAATAGTTCATCCAGTTAAATTAATGGTTTTCAACTTGTTCTGGAAGGATTGCTTGATAATCTTCATATTCTGGATTGCTATGTATAGTAGCTTCCATAGCCCAATTTGACTGATCTGCCATTTAGTATATTTTTTCTACTTTCCAAATGAAGTGTAAGGTTTATAAATAACATTTTCACTTGGGCCACATTGTTTTGTTTTGTTTTTCATTTTAAAAGGTTTAAGCTTCTTCCCAAAGTGATAAAATAACTTATTTTAATTAGATTTGCAATATTTACATGCTTTATATTTTTTTATTTCTTTTTTGATTTTTAGCATTTTATATACCAGTCAAGGACTTTGGTGGCAAGTCATCTCTAGATCAAGTGAATTACATAATTAATTCACAGTACTGTTTCTTTAGAACTCTATATTGGTTGGGAAAATCTGCATATGTATAGTATGTCTCTGGAGCTGGTGATCTTTACAAGCTCTCTGCGTTGTACTACTCATTGAGAAACTGCAAGCACTGTCTCTGCTGTATGGGGTTGGTAGGCCATGCAGAATCACTTGTGAAAAAAATACAGGCAAAAAATAAAAATGCGTACGGTGTGGATATGATGCCAAATTTCTCAATAATTGGAATGATCAAATCATAGAGATGTTGTTTTCACAAATGTTTAGTGCCTATGAGCCCGAAACAAAGACAGGTAAGGGAGCCAATGGAAATATAAGTTCTCTAGGGCTATAGAGAATTTAATTAATAATGATTAGAGAAAGTCGACGTCATGATAGCATGGCATTCTCTCTTCAATGCAGTCTTGAGAAGGAAGTTCTTCTGAGGTCAAGTTGCTTCCCACAGCTACTCCTAAAGTCCCTACTTCCAATGGACCTTTGATTAATGAATCAGCTGAATAGACAGAGTACAAAAAGGCAAATGATAGCTATATAAAGCCCTCTAGTGCTATGGAGTTTTAATATCTATTAAATAAATATATAGCTAGTCGGAAACATCCCTCCCTTGACTGAGGAAAGTGGCTGATTGTTTAGGATATTACATAAACAATTTCATGGTGGAATTGGTTAATCATAAATGTGTCATCTGATTTTTTTTAATCTTTCCATTTAGAAACATGTTTCTTTCCTAGGGAGAAAAATTCTCATCACTACCAAAGGATTTTGCTTCAAGCCCAGGTCACATGCTATGATGACCACATCATGCTATATCTCGGGCTTATGCTAACAACTTTCTCCTGCTGAAAAGCTTTGTAAATAGAATATATATAGTAAAAGTCAACTCAGCTGCAAACAGCAATAGAGGATACTTAAAAAAAAAAAACTTCAAGAAGTACAAAAAAAGGATCCTCAGATCTTTTTGACTCCTAGTTTGGAGTTAATCACTTTTGTGGACTTTGTTCCTTTTGTTCCATATTTGTATAATTTACACATCAGATGTACTCAATAGTTTTCCGCCTCACATGACTCCTGCATGAAAGACTGAATAGAGCTTAACTGTACATGTGATTACAGGATATTGTCTGGAGTAGGAAAAGAGAAAGAAAAATCACTCGTTCTAATTGATAACAGTGTAGACTGACTAATCCTAGAGTGAAATTTTAAATATCAATTTTAAATCAAATAAATCACTGTTATTTTATATCAAAGTTATAAAGAATCATATCACTGTAAGAATCTATAAAACTTTTGTAATGTGCCGTAGATTTGTGAACAGTTTCATAAAATCACCAATGCGTTAAACTGAACTGAAGCTGCATAAACACATATATGTAGGAATGCAATTGTAAACAAGTCAAGGAAATGAAATGCAAAAAATACTGTGTTAATTTTCTGGTCAGCCACAGCCATTCAGAAGCAGCGGATGGGTGACAGCAGAAACTTTCCATGAACCAATGAGCTAATTTATGCATGCAATGTGATTTTTTTAAAAGAAAAAACCTTTATCTCTGCTCAAATGACAGCAGTTAAACGCTGAACTTCTTGAAGAAAAGTAGCTAAGTATTTTCCTGTCAAAACATGCCTTTCAGTACAAGTGTTGAGAAAAACCATGCTAAGGTCTTTGATGTTCTAAGACAGGGGTCCTCAACCTTGGCAACTTTAAGACTTGTGGACTTCAACTCCCAGAATTCCTCAGCCAGCCAGTCCACAAGTCTTAAAGTTGCCAAGATTGAGGACCTCTGTTCTAAGAAGTTAAAGTGTTCCTTTAATAGTGTATTTTTCCTGCTATCAAGAAATGGTCTTTATCATGTTGGAAGACAAAGCAGATATATCAATTTCTGACATAGTGCATGGCAGTACTGAAACTGTGAAAATGCTCCTGGAATAGAAGTGGGAGAATGGCACTTCTGGATTTGTCAGAAGATCTAGCTCCTATACCTGTTTATTTTAAAGCAATCTTTAGTATTATGCAATACTAAAATTTGCACAAATAACCAAAAATTTAAGTTTTGCCAAAATAAAATATCTAAAGTAGACTTAGGTGTCAGAGCTTTCTAAGAGGGGTGGAGGAGGAGAAATGTTTTGTATTTTGTGGCTATTAACTTTAGAGTTGTGTAAGAAGAAAGAATGAAGAAGTGGGAGTCACAAATGTGGTCACTGGTAATTCCAATTCAGACCTGTATGAGTAGTTTTGACTGCAAGCAGCAAGTCTGACAAATTATGCAAATCATTGCAGTCATTAACCAAAACTGAAAAAAGGAAGAAGCATGAGTGAAATGTACACCCTTTCTACATGATTCCTAGGACCTAGATAATGTGTGGGAGGAAAGATCTCACACTATTCCTGTTTAGAGAAAGCCTCCTTCTAAGTTATTTGTCCTGTTGTAAAAAAAGATGATTGTTAATTTGATCAGAGAAATATTGTAAGCTCGGTATTTTTTTGGGGTGGTGGTGGTTAATTTCTATCTTATCTGTATTTTTCTCCCATGTGAAACAAACTTCAGCTGTGTTATAGACAACTCATCTTTGTGAAACAATAAAGGGAGAAAAGGTTAACTTTTTACCTCTGTACATTTTAACTAAAATCAACCTTCCCTTCTTCATGGTTCTAATTAGGAAAAATAAAGCACAAAAACATTAGTTATTGAGCATGTGGTATGCTTCTGTGTCTTTGCTTAGCTAATTCATCATCTTGCTCCATGTTTAGCCCCCTCCATATTATAATAACTCAGATGGCTTGTTTGAGCTTAACATTGAGCTCAATAATCTAGTAGCTAAGAGACTAAGGCTAAGCCAGGAGTTCTATGGTTAGAATTTGTTTCACTAGATGACATTAGGCAGATAATGTGAATCTGAACACTTTTAGACTGGAAAAACTTTGCTTTGAGCTCAAAAGCCTCCTTCTGAATTTGGGGTGGACCACTTTGGGAAGTATTTCAAGCTCAAAACATTTTCAAAATGGCTTGTTTTGCACTTAAACATCTCTTTCGCATACAGAAAGAGGACATTTGAAAATTGAAATAATTCAAAGATGAAATGCTTCACACATCTCTTAGATTGTTGTATTTTTTAGATTCAGTTGATGAAGTACAGGTAATAGTAATAAAAATGTTCTAAATTGCACTAAGATATTAATGCCTGAAGCCAAATAAAAATAAAAATAGAAAACCCAACTAGGAATGATTCTCAGTAGAAAAAGTGAAGGGCCTTCATCTGAATCAGTTTTGACACTCATAGTTAGTTTTTCTCCCATTATGAAAATAATTGGCAGAATAGTCTTAAACACGTATAATGGCAGAATAGTCCAGTATCCTCAACACCTTATGCTTAGGTTGAGTACATCTAGCGCTCAAAGAGAGGCATTGCCTGAAAAACACCTGCTTCTAAAAGCAAAGGAGTGGTGGGACTCCACATTCCTCTTCCTAAGTGTCAGCCACAAATGGAGGCACAGAGTTCTACTTTGGCTTTAGTTTTTCCATCACTTCTGGGCACCGGAAACATCTATACGCATCTGTAATCTTCTGCTTTCTTTTCCAGGCTCCTGAAGTCCCAGGAGAATGAATCAACCAAATGGAGAGCAACCAAATCAGTCTCATTCTCTCTTTGATGCCTTTCTGCATGCCAAGCAGTGCAAAGAAGTCTTGAGCAGATTTGAAGAGCTGTGCAGTTATTTGAATCTGGAACACACTGGCCAGATCCATTTCTATCACAAGCTCAAGTCTTCTCTCAATTATTGGAGTGCTAAAGCTTTGTGGACCAAATTGGACAAGAAGGCTGGACACAGAGACTATGACCAGGCGAGAGCATGTTCAAACACTAAGGTAAGAAGCCACATCATAGTTGCAAATGACAGTCTTTTTGATAGGTTTACATATGAGACGCTAAGACACCACATCTAGACATTATAATAACTGGCTTCATGACTGGTGTCAGATTACTGGTACTAACCTTCCTTTTGCTAAATTATGGAGACACTTTATGGTTTAGTACTATAGCATATTTAGTTCTTTTCCTACATGCAAAGGTATATGTCTATATGTGTCATAATTATAAGTCTAGACAGAATAATAGCTAGTTTCATACTTGATGTCTGGTTATTGTTACTAATTTTCCTGCAGTTTGGTATGAAGACATCAGTTTACGTTTGCATTTCAGAGTTATAAGTTTCTTTATTTACAAATGGTTTTCTTCATTCCTACACTGTTATCAAAACCCCAAAACTATAATGACTGCACTTTTTAAATCTATATTTTCTAAGAAGAAAAGTATTTTCTTTAAAACTGCATAAATGAAAAAAAAACTGAACTCCTTCAAAACTATTTCTACATTTAAAAATAATCAAAATATAATTATACGACTAATATAACAGTTGATTCTTTTTTACATAGTACATGAATAAGCATTATTTTTAGCAACAAAATTATAGTTTCTCAGGAGACAAAAAACCTAGACATAACAAAAAGAAAAAGAAACAGGCATCTCAAGAAAACTGCAAGTATTTTAAATTTTTAAAAGAAACAAATATCCCAGGAAAATTGTGAATATTTTAATCTTTAAAACTATGAACATTAATCAAAATTACAAAATTAGAACAAAGGAGTAATTATCCAGCTTTATCCAGCTTTGGAGCTTTCCAAGTATTTGATAGAGTAGAAATTTGGAATATATCTCAACAAAATAAGCTGGAAATACTGTTTGAATTCTGGCTATGTGAACATCATTACTGATAACAACTTGCAGGTTTATTCCCATCAGTTGCACCATGGATACTCTGAACATGGATCAGCAGGCTTGTGAGTCTGATGGTCAAGATAAGCCTTAAATATATATTCTGGCCTTGAAAGCAGTTTGTACCAGTCTCATCTGGATCTGCAATGACTTGTCAAGAGACGTAACAGGACTTGGATGTTTGGTTGCCTGGAGGCCAGAAATATCATTTAATATTTTTTTAAAGCAACCAAATTTTTCAAGCAACCAAGCATTTTTAATGCTTGCACATTAAAAATATTACATTTCAATTACTTCTAATGTTACTAAATTCCAACTTTCTCTAAGATTAAAATAGGACTTTTCTTTGAGTAGAAGATGAAAGAATGCCTGACTGAATAGCAGAAACCAATGGTTCCTTTAACTGTCAGCAGAATTCCTGCAATTATTGTAAACAGTAATTTATTATCAGGAAAGTTCCACTATAGCACATTAGCTAACATTCCCTTGTCCATAGCAAAGGAAAGGAAAAATGTGGAACTGAGGAAGGACTCTGTGATGTCTCTTTCTATCCCACAGGCTTTTTTGTGGCTCCTATTTTGATGTAATACCAGTCAGTCTTGTGTAAAGTTTCTGTCTAGTTTCAGTGCGGTTGAGTATGTATTGTCTTGCAAATTCTGGTGATTCATTGTGACAATGTTTTTCAGTGCCTGATCATTGGGGCAGGGCCCTGTGGTCTTCGCTCAGCTATTGAATTGGCTTTCCTTGGAGCACATGTTGTGGTGGTAGAGAAGAGAGAGATCTTTTCCCGAAACAATGTGCTGCACCTTTGGCCTTTCACTATCCAGGACCTGCGGGCACTTGGAGCCAAGAAATTCTATGGCCGTTTCTGTACTGGCTCCTTGGATCACATCAGTAAGTATGTTAGAAAAGAATTGTCAAGGACAGAGGAATGCCTGTAATATCACAGGATCACTGTTAAGCAAGAGCCAGGCAATATCAGCCCAGAGGATCTGCAGAGGTCTTGGGGACAAGATAGATTTCAGCAGAGGCAGGAAAAAGCACTTGAAAGTTTAGCAAAAGATCTCATGCATATAAAGAACAAGAACAACTGTAGTTCATCAAAGGAGCTGCAAAATCTTGGAGAAAAATTGTGTGTCTCAAAATAAGAAAATTTTAACATATGCTGAAATTATAGAGAAACCGTGCACCGTTGTGGCTTCCAATAGGAATAGTGGAATTTATAATAATATAAATAATTATATGCATGGACTAATTAGCATTTCAAGAGAATTATGATCAAAGGTGTGAGTTCCTCATCAAGAATTATTCCTGACTTTAAATAATAAAGATACCTTTCATATTTTGGATTTTGTTTGCTTATTGTTTCTACTTCGTTGCTTTTAAGCCTTCCTCTATTTTTTTAACCAGACAGCATCCAATATTATGTTCAGTTATTCTTTGGGCTTAATGTCCTCCTTGCTAATGCTAAGGGAATCCGTAGGTTTTTAAAACTATGATATCTATATGACCATAGAAATTTAGGGTTGTGGCTACTTCAAAAATCATTTTGAAAAAAATGGTTCAGATCTATTATCAGTATGCTGTTCATTGTAGAAATTTGAAAAAAGTTGCAGCTGTTTTAAGAAACCATTTGTTAAAATAATGCAGTTCTTAAAGCAATTGTAACTATTTTTCAGTCTCACTCCAATTTTAAAAGACATCCAACACCAAAACAGATCCAAAAAACCAAGGAAAAGTCTTCCAAAAGATCTTCGAATGCAAAAGGAAGTTCCAACCTTGAATTGGTATGGTAAAGAAAGCAAATAGATAAATATTAACTGAAGGAAAATCAAACAAAGAGGAAAGGTGTATTCTGTGCAGCGGAGATATTAACACTCAAGATACAAAAGAAGATATTCCTTCTTTAAAAGTAACTCTGTTATTAGAAGATGAAGTTAAATCTTCACTCTGCTCAGAGTGCTATAGGAATTCACGGGATATCTATATAAATATGGCAAGGAAGAGAAAAATCACCACATTTAACCAAAATATGCCACAAAACAGTGACCAGCTGATTGGAGAAGTTATTTTACATACCAGTTCCAAAGCAAGGAGAATTAACTTGCATATACTTCACTTCACATGCCAGCAATAATACTTAGAATCATTTAACACAGACTATAACCTTACATGGAAAGAGAAAGGCCAGGTGCTCAAGTTGCTTTTAAAAAAGGCTAGGAAACAAGGGACATTATTGCTAATGCATGATGGATAATTGAGAAAAAAAACCTGAAGATTATCAAATGGAACATGGTGAAACAGAACTGGTCTCAGGTTGGCAAATTGGCCTCTTGGTAAGACAAGCAGGGAGTTTTACATGTTAATGATTTAAAAAGTCAAGACGGTAACTGATTCTGATTGAAGTGTGACCCTTTTTTAATGTTCATCAACATGCAACCTACATAAAATAACAAATAGAACTTTGGTCAGATCATCACAATTGCCATTTTTACTTTTTTTTAAAAAAAAAATCACACCCTGCAGATATCCTTGAAGACAAGGCTGTATGATTTATCCTTATTCATTCAACCTATAAGCTGAATATAGGGGAGTGAGACTGAATTGAAAGAAGATGTGGTTCTAAAATTGGAGGAAGGGGCATCAGTAGCCTATGTTATGCTGATAACACAACTCTGATAGCTGAAAATGAAAATGAGCTGAAAGTTTTAGTAAAAAAACTGTGAAAAAATGAAATTAAGAATAAATACAAAAAGACTTAACTAGTGATAACAAGTACACCTACCCACCTTAGAATACCCAATAAAGATACTGAAGTGATGGGTAGTTGCTGCATGTTAACATCAACTATCAACAGTAAAGGAACCTGCAAGCAATTGTTTTTCCTGTGACACACAATGAAAGCAAAAATTGAATTTTGAAGAAGCAGGACAGAAGGACTATTGATGCTTTCAAAGTCTGGGATTTGCAAAGGCTCCTAAGAATACTGTGGTCAAGAAAAGAAACAAATGGATAATCAAACAAACTATAATCAAATCCAGAGTGCTCATTTGTGGCCAAATGACCAGGCTCAAATTATAGTTTGAACACATTTTGTGAAAATCTAGCTTTCTGGAGAAGTCTGTAATGTGGGGAGAGATGGAAGGAAAGAGAAGAGGATGAGCAACAGTAAAGTAGATGGGCTCAGTTACATCAGCAATGGGTGCACTATTGGAAAATGTGAAGAGCCAGGTTAGGATAAGTCATCCTAGAAAAGTCTGTCTATGTGGTTGCTAAGAGTTGACTTAAATTAATGGCATGTAATCAATCATCAGATAGATGCTGGTCTTGCATAGAGTCGAAAGCACCTTTTCTGAATTACTTTTGAATAATTTTGAAGTACTTTTTCTCTTTTTATTTTCCTGAAATAAAAAAGGAGGTGGCTAAAGCCTGCTACTCCATTTGTAGCAATGAGAACTTATATGTCACTGTGTATACAGTATATGCTTATGTAGGTTATCTTCTTCTGTTTTAACCAATTCTCTTTGTATGCTCCTATTGTATCTATAGGTATCCGTCAGCTGCAGTTGATCCTGCTGAAAGTAGCCTTGTTGTTAGGTGTTCATGTTCACATCGGTGTACAATTTAAGGGGCTCATTCTACCAGTAGTGAACTCTCATGGACAGGGTAAGAATATCAATAATACTCAGTTCTTCTGAGTATTTAAAGGCAGTGTATCTTATCCAACCTTGTTCTCCATCACTTATATGGCAAATGGAACAGCCTATCCCCAGACATTTCAACCACTCGCTCCTTGTTATGTTTCTGAAGAACCGTGAAAGCATAACTTTTCAGGAGAACATTTGGGAAAGTATTATCCTATCTATGAATAAAGGTGAAGCAAATGGGGACTCCAATTAATTGTTATTACTGATTTTTTCTTGTTTTATTCCTATGCTATGGTGACTTGCTGTAAGGAATCAAGCTACATAGAAACTAAAGTAAACAAACAAACAAAGGGATATTTTCTTCAAACACCCAGGGGAGATTTATGAAACTCTATTATTTGTGCTGAGAATTGGCCTTTCTTCATAAGTAATAGGTTTTCCTGCTATCTTTTTAAAACTGAGTTGCTTTTCTGCTGTATTAAGGTAAAATGCAGAGAAGCAATGCAATTGGAACACTTGGGGCTAAAAAGTGTTCAATTGCATTTGGGCTCTCTAAGCAAATGTGTGAATTAATTCTAAATCGGAACATTAATTCTTAGCAAGAGCCAAGATAGGTTGGACTGTTACTTACTTTTTGGCCAGCCACAGGTCTTTGAGCCAGTAAAATGTGCCTCTTATTCCTTTATAAACACACATGTCTTGTGAAAAGGAGTTAATTTGCTGCCATCGTGGCCAGAGTCTTGATTTCATCTTTATATTGCAGTCCGTGGTTGGAGAGCTGATCTGCAGCCTGGCTCCTCTCCCTTGAGCCAGTATGAGTTTGATGTCCTCATCTCTGCTGGTGGTGGAAGGTTTGTGCCAGAAGGTAAGGTAAGCAATCACCTATGGCCTATCACTCTTTGCATCATCTTTTCATAAGTGTTGTGTGAACATTCACAAGTAAGTAGATGGGCAGAATTGGGGGAACATTACTGAAACAGGTCCAGATTTAGAGACTTCTTACAGACATTATAATTTCATTATCTGGAAAAGCTAGTGCTTGAGCTGAATGAGAACCTGCAACTCTAGCTTGTAAAAATAAGTTCTAATCTGAATGCTTATTGGTACCAAAACTGAAGGTGAATGATGTAATTTAACTGAGAAGAGACAGGAGAATTCGATGTAAAAAAACCACAGATACTCGTGATTGTGGACATTTCCTCAAACCTCATTTTTTGTCATTGTAAATATTGTTCAGAGAATCATTTTTCCAGCTTTTCAGATGAGAAAAGAAACTCCAGTGTTTGTGTTAAACTTAGCATTGGAATATAAATGTTTATGAAGTGGAGACAGTAAATTGAAATTGCCCATTTAAGAGCCTGCCTTTTTTTTTATTAAATATAAGTCATTTGCAGTGTTATAAACAAACAGTGCCTAAGCAGTAAAACATTATTTTTAAATTGTGAAACAAAGGTAGCACGTGATTTTAGAGAAAATTTTCAGTTTCTTTTTTTAGCATCTCTTCTCAATTTTGGTCAATTACTCCAGCAGATTCTGTGAAATTTTAAGTATGAAGATAAAAATGGTTGTCCAGCTTAGTTTGTTTGGTTTTTGTTTTTTTTTTGTTTTTGTTTTAATATCTGTGCTGCACTGGGTCTCAATAGCAGGTATTATTTAAAAAGATTCCAAAAGGCATTTTGCCTTCAGCTGGAGAGTAAATTAAAAATAAAATAGAAAGTTCTTTGTAGATGCTTCAGCACATATGAGCTAGTTCTGCTTCCATCCATAGAAACTGACAGCAGAAAAAGACCTAGGGGTCCATCAAATCTACTTTTTGAATTTATTTTTTGTTTTCTTTTTAATTTATTTATATTGCACATTTCCAGTAATGGCCTGAATTTATAATCACTCCTTGTCTGGAATTGTTCATTTTACACATTTTTTTTTCAGCAGTAAATTGTTCTCTTCTTCCAGACTCGTTTTGTTGAGTGCTGGCCATAAGAAGCAAAAATGAGTCCTTCATACCAGGGTGCTGCATCTTCTCCAAAGGCTTCCTCATAATTATATAATCCTCCTATGATGAATCCAGTTTTTAACATCAGTGTATTGTATGGTTGTTGGCTGTCTTTTTACTCTACTTTGAAGATCACAAAGACAGTTAATGCATACAGTAAGAAAAGGCAGCAATAACAATAGGGCTTATAAATTGGGGCTGCAGACACCGGAATAACCACTATCTAACATCCACCAAGAAGCAAAGAAACTCTTGCTCATTGAAATTTTTGTAGCCCAGATCTGCTAATCCTAAGCAAAATTCTCAGTTGCTGAGTATTGCATTAAATATTTACATTAGTATTACAGGTAGTCCTCAACTTAGCGATCATTTGTTTAACAACTATTCAAAATTAGGATGGTGCTAAAAAAAAGGTGGCCTGCAACCAGTCCTCACACTTATGACTGTCGCAGCATCCCATGGTCCCATGTTAGTCATTCAAGCAGTTGGCAACCAGCATGTATTTATAAACAGTGTCCTGCGTCATGTGGATCATCCTTTGTGATCTTCCCAGGGGTCACCCAGTAAACAGTCAATGGGAAAGCTGGATTTGCTTAATGACTGCAGCAAAAAATATCAAAAAAAAAGCAGGCAGGACTCACTTAACAACCACATTGCTTAGCATGGGGTTCTGATCCCAGTTGTGGTTGTAAGTCAAGGACTCCCTGTTATAATAGATACAGTAAAATGTTTGCTAAAATGGAGCTGCATGAAGTTAATGAAAGGGTGACCAGAGTAATATTTTTTAGGGACTGTTTTAAAACCAAAAGGAATTATAGAGATTATCCTGGAGGTGCAGAGTCACCCCAAAATTGTACTGTCTGCTTGATGTCCTTTCACTACTGAAAATACAGTGACAAAGAAACCTGGATTTGTCATAGTTCAGATGGTAGAATTTAATTACATATAGAGCATGATTTGCTCTGCATGGTTCATGTTGCTCTTTTCCATTCTTATCCTGACCATTTCCTGTATTGCTGGCTCCTCTTTCTTTCAAGGCTGATGGAAGGCTCTCTCCTTGTGTATTCTCATAGGCTTTAAGAGGAAGGAGACACGAGGGAAATTGGCTATTGGCATTACCACCAATTTTATAAATAACCATAGCAGAACTGAGGTGGAGGTGGCTGAGATAAGTGGAGTGGCTCGCATATACAACCAGAAGTTCTTCCAAAACCTCTACAACAAAACAGGTGAGAGTTTACATTTAACTTTTTAGCCTAGATGGTTTTTCATCATGCATTGAAATCTGTGGCATTCCATTGTTTTTAATGAGCAGAAATGGAGAAGATGAGTCAGCAAATAGATCAAACTGTTCCTTGTGTCTTTTGGAGCAGTATGTAGGATGCCTCCATTTTTCTATGAATTTCAATGATGTAAAATAAAATATAGAACAATATATGTGCATACTACCTGTATTTTTAATGCTAGTTACAAAAAACCAGACAAATACATATGATCCCACAGGGATTTTCCTATCTAGTTAAGCATCCTGTTGCCTGCAATAGATAGCCCAAAACACAAGGAATTGTGTGATCAGGTTATAAGGACAATAGCCACTCACTATTGTTTACCAGCAACTATATTGAGCTGTAGACTAATTCTGATCCTACAGTTAATTCAGAGCCTTTGTGGCTGTTGCCTAGTGGCACCCTTCTCTTTATGAATATGACTATCTTCCTTTAAACTTGTCTATACGTAACTTTCTCCTTGTGTTTAAACAATATTAGGTATTGATTTGGAAAACATTGTCTACTATAAAGACGACACTCATTACTTCGTCATGACAGCCAAGAAGCATAGCTTGCTAAAGAAAGGAGTCATCTTAAATGTATGTATGACAGGACTTGGAAAGCTTTTCAGGTTCCATTGCATCATTTTGAGTGATGGTGCAGGTGCCAGGAATAAATTAATATTTTAATAAGTAATCATTTTAAAATTGCCAAAGTCTTGTGGTATCTTTGTCATTTTAAAACTTAACTTATTTTTAATCACTGGGAGTGGTGGATCCAACAGTAAAGCATGTCTGAAGTTGAACTTGATGGCTTTTGAATCACACATAAACTGAGCTTGTACCTAAGAGGTATGTAATATAGGTTTCACTTAATGCAGAAGAATAAATCTGAAATCGAAACAAAGATTTTATGTGAGATATCCCTAAATAAGAGATGAATTCAGCGTAATTAAAATTTACCGTCTTTGAGATATAAAAGTGACATGAGATGTATAACAAAGTTTCTCCATTCGCGTTCCATGCTAATTCTCAATCTGCAGATGGAATATTCAGTAAGTCTTTAGCTATGTCCAGGTATACCCACGCTCACAGTGCAATGTAATTAAAACTTTACTGTTTGTATAAGTTGATTCCTTAAATTGCCTTTACTAAATTGTTTTAATAAATGCTTTTGACAATCGGTTGATATTAAATTAAAATTCCTAACTTTTGATGGGGGACACAGAAATAAATATTTAATGTATTAATTGTATTAAATTCATGCTGAAACTTGATACCTTGGGAGTTCTAAAATTTATGCCTCCTGCTTTTCCCAATTTGGATTCAACCAATTTTTCTTTCATTTTGCCCTTTTTAAAATAGCCTCTGTTTTTCTATGACTGCAGCAGAGGGAGGTGCTGGAGTAATCAGACTGTACAGTATGAGACTAAGAGTCACATCTCACTCCAGGGACTGTAGATTGCCTATCTGAGCCCCTACACAGTAGACCCATTGCTTTGTAGCTGCTTTATGACTTCAAGCAATAGAACTCATGACTCTTTAATTATTATTCTATATTATTGTTATAGAATAAAGATTTTTATCTATATATTTCTAGGATAAGCTTGACATAGAGAGTTTACTCTCTCCGGAAAATGTGAACCAGGAAGCCCTTCTCGCTTATGCCAGAGAGGCTGCCAACTTCTCCACCAACTACCAGCTGCCCAGTTTGCAATTTGCACTAAACCATCGCCATCATCCTGATGTTGACATGTTTGACTTCACCTGCATGAACCGTGCAGAAAATGCAGCTTTGGTGCGTGACTGCAATGGTGCTAAGCTGCTCATCGGGTTGGTGGGTGACTGCTTGGTGGAGGTAAGTGTGGCCTTAATATGATCAGAACTAACATCTGGAAGGGCCTCTTTACAATGGAACAAAATATATTTCAAACCTATTTGATTGGAATTCCCATTCAGTTGGAGACAGCTTTTCCCAACCTCATATTAGTTTACAATTTCAGCCCTAGTTTGGGAGTTGAAATCCAACACATCTGGAAAGCAGCTGCTTAGGGACAATCAATGTGTGTTACTTCAGAATATATAGGCAGAGGAAGTTTGCATTACTGAATGTTCATCTGCTAAGAATTTTCTAGGTTAATTGAGAAGCCTAGGCTACAGCCAGTTTTCCGTTATAACTTTGCTGTCCCCATTGTTTTATGTAGGGGAGATTTTGCATACTTTTTAATGCAGCGATATTCCAGAAAGGCTTTTTACTTTTTATCAACAGTTGTTCTCCCATTTCCATTATTACTGAAAGAAACTCAAAGGTCATTATATGGAAACATGTAAATAAAGCTGAGCTGCTTGGAAAAAAATCTGCTAAATGTTAGCTGTGTTATAATGGGAACTATTATAAAAACCTTCTAGCAAGCAGAATGGTTGTTTTTGACAGGATTATGAAACTCCAGTCCAAGCAGAATGCAGGGATTTTTTCCCCCTGCTGTGCACTTTTCTCAGACATTTCTTCACTAGTGCTTGATACAAGCATATCATTTGGTGGTTTGTATATGAATATAGTTTTGTTCGTTTGCTTTTTTCTCCAGCCATTCTGGCCCTTGGGCACTGGTGTGGGCAGAGGTTTCTTGGCAGCTTTTGATGCTGCTTGGATGGTAAAAAGATGGGCCTCAGGAGTATCCCCACTGGATTTGTTGGCTGAGAGGTGAGCATATTGAGAAGGGGTACAGTATTTCCAGATTTAGGATTCTCAAGAGAGAGAGAGAGTAGTTTTAGTAAACGTTCAGATTTTTATTCGTTTTTCTCATCCTTGACAACGTTAAGATGTATGGACTTCAACTCCCAGAATTCCTCAGCCAGCCATAAAAGGATGTTTAACTGTGGAGTCATTTTGTAGTCTCATTACAGGCCACAGTTATTCTGTGCAATTGGGTATCAAGCTATGCCCCCTGGGACATTAAGTGCCTTCTGTGGCTGTATTAAACCATTTTCCAAAATATATTTTTTTGAATGCTGTCAATTTTAACAGGCAGCAAGAATCATGGAAGAAAGGAAGGAGGATTTAAAAAAAAAGAAAAAAAATCCTGCTTATCAACTTTTACTTGTTTGATATAATTCACAGTCAACTGTTTTTGGCCTGGCTTGAGAAAAAAGTTCTTTTTTTTTAACCTGTGAAAGGAAAATAGCTGCTTGGAGACAGTGAACATTCTCAGTAGAAAAGTGGATGAAAAAAATCAAAATGGTTAAACAGTAGCTTCTTGTTTCTCTCTCCAGACACAACCATTTGAAAGCTGAAGGAAATCATGGGTGTGTTGCTTAGGGGTCCGGGGGTTAGACTGAAGGGCAGGCAAGGTTAATGGAGGACGTTTAAGTTTAAAAGTACATGAAGAAAGTTTAAGATTACACGAGGAAAACAAGCGAATGTTCTCCAAAACATAGGATAACATATTGATATTCATAATGGCTGCAAGAGCACGCAAAATGAGTTAGGAACGACTCTTGTGAAGAGAAGCAAAGAGCAAGGCTTGCATAGTTATGCCTGAGTTGCCTCCAGGCTGATTCTTATTCCCATGTATAAAATATGCCTCTTCATTCGTGAACTCAAATGGATTTTTTTTCCTGCTCAATCCCCACCCAGAGAAAGTATATATCAGCGGCTGTCACAGACTTCACCTGACAACATGAACAAGAACGTTAATCAGTACAGCGTTGATCCCACCACACGATACTCAAACATCAACCTTCAGGCAATCAAGACCTCTCAGGTACTTTTGCCACAAGCAGAGAGGGAGGGGAAGGGTGTAGTTCAGGGGTAGTCAACCTTGGCTCTTTTATGACTCGTGGACTTCAATTCCCAGAATTCCTGAGCCAGCTTAGCTGGCTCAGGAATTCTGGGAGTTGAAGTCCACGAGTCATAAAAGAGCCAAGGTTGACTACCCCTGGTGTAGTTGCTTTGTCTTCCCAATCATTGGCTTGATTTTTAATTCTTTTCTTAGTTCCTCTGTAAAGCCCACCTTCCCCTTTGCAACTTCACACAACATAGCAGTTTTTACCACTGACACTGGTTGCAGCCAGAAACATAACCAAAAGTATAAAGTGAGGTTATGATGGCAGGACTGCAGCAGTAGTCTTCTCTGCAAGATGTTCTGACATTTAAGGTTTGGTTGGTTGGATACTGAGGTTTTGTGCATTTTCTGAACAGGGAAGATGAGGATTTCAGGAGTTGAATGGATTTGGGAAGTATAGAGATTAGCTGGAGTTCTGTTCAGGGTCCAAACCATGTTGATGATAGCAAATAATAGGTGCATTTGTTTTCAGGTTCGTAAACTATACATTACGGGAGACATTGAAATGGAGCAGAACAAGCGAAGAAGTCATGCCAGCCCAGAGTCAGTCGGCAAAGGCAAGTTTGGGTAGCTTTCTTCATGGCTTCCAGCTGCGAGGATCCCATTGTTCATGCTCACTTTTTTCTTGTTTTAACAAAATAGCATTTGCAGCCATGCAGATCCTTACATATGAATGATTGAACTGTAGAATTGGAAATAACCTTGAAGGTCATTGGTTCTTCCAATTTCCACTTAGTGCAGATTCCGCAATGTAGGATACGGTAACTAATCTGCTAGATGGCTGTCCAGACTTCCAAATAAATGTGTTTCATCACCAAATATCTAATCTACTGTAATTTGCTTTCTTGCAAACTGCTACCTCTTGGCTCTTTTGAATCTGCCTTATCAACCTGTTTGCAATTTCTTCCTTAGGACTTGCAACTAGATAGAATAGTTTTGGGTGTGTGTTGCTTTAGGGGAATATCATGTGAATCTAGAGAACTTTCGTATATACTTTTGTTGGCTTTTCTATAGACAATAAAGTTGCACAAATCTTTATCTGGCTGGTTGAACCACTGTTCTATACATTACAATAACAATACAGTTGTACAGTAACCTACTCAGGGGTACCAGTTACATAAACATAGTATGATTTCTCTTAGTAATTATAGTGGTTTGCTTTTCAACAGCTATTGACAAAAGAAGAAAAATGTTGATATACTAAGAAGCTTTTCCTTTATAAATTGGATGAATGAAGGAATGAATAAAATTTGTATCTGGAGACATACTGGGAATTGGACACTCTTATAAGTAAATATCAATTCTCTTTTCTCTCTGCAATACCATACTTCTACTCCAGATACCAGTAGAGCCTATGAGGAGCTTCTTAATTGGTGTCAATCAAACACAGCCAGTTACCATGGCATCAAGGTGGAAGACTTCACACACTCCTGGAAAAGTGGATTGGCTCTTTGTGCCCTCATACATCACTTTCGCCCAGATCTTCTGTGAGTTTCCTTTGTGGGAAAGCTGAAGGAATACAATACCTACTAATATTGGGAAAGGCTAAAATGTGTTAGAGTAAAGCGGGTTTTTTTATATATATGTTCAGATGTTGGAATTAGATCATTTTATACGCTTACGTTTTCACATCATGTTCATTTTTGCTATCATCTCTCTTTGATTATCTGCCAGAAGCATTTTGAGGCACTTTTTTCACAAACGGGAGTCGGACTAAATGATCTATAAGGATCCTTCATAGATTCTAGCATTCCAAAACTTTGGTTCTCCAAACATTAATCTAGTTGTTTAAGCATTTGGCCTTTGCCATAGAGCAGATACTGTATGTATGAGGTGAAGTGCAGTTATGATTGTGATGTGGGGTTTCGTCTATGGTAGCTTATTTATCTATACAACTCATACTACAGTCACCAAGTGATGAATGTGTATGTAAGAATCAGGCTAAAAAGTTCTATGTATGGTTCAATGAATTAATTGCTTTAAATAAAATCTCCATGTCCCAGTGATTGTTTTCAGTTCTGGGAAGTTCAGTACATATTTGTACCAACGTTTTCTTTTTCTTTTACATTAGATTTCCAGCTTCACAATTTCCCATTGCTACCATTCCAATCCAGATTTAGTTGTTTTTAGAATGTAGAATCATAGGGGCTGGAAGGGCCTCGGTGGTCTTCTAGTCCAACCCCCTGCTTAAGGCAGGAGGCCCTGTACCAGGGGTAGGGAACCTTGGCTCTTTTATGACTTGTGGACTTCAATATCCAGAATTCCTGAACCAGCCATGCTGACTCAGGAATTCTGGGAGTTGAAGTCCACAAGCCATAAAAGAGCCAAGGTTCCCTACTCCTGCCCTATACATCCTAATCAAATGGCTGTCCTGTCTATTCTTGAAAACCTGCAGCAATGGAGCATCCACAACTCCAGGAGGCAAGCTATTCCACTGATTCATTGTTCTCACTGTAAGGAATTTTTTCCTTAGTTCTAGTTGGATGTCTCTTTGAAAAGCTTTCACCCCTTATTTCTTGTTCTGCCTTTTATTTGTAAAAGGTCTACTCCCAAAAGACTTTACAGAACCAATGCCTTGGGTAGATTTCTTTTAGGTGGAGATTTAGAACTTACAAAATTTATCACACATGAGGGATAACTAGGCCATATATGGACAAATTTAGATTGTGAGCAACTTTTGCTTTGAAAACTAAAAGCTACTATGTCTGAGCTTCTTCCCTAGAATATAATTTATTTAATAAAATACTACTCATTAAGGTCAAAGTGGATAGAAAAATAATCTTAAGTACAAAATGTGGACATAAACTTTAATATAGGCAATTATTTATTTGTATTGCAAAGATGCTTTTTTCTCTGAATGTTTCTCTGTTGCAGGAAGATGATGGGATTAATAACTGCAGAGCCTGGGACTTCACAGAGAACAGTTACTTCTCAACCTGTCTGCCAGATCTTGATAGGATGACTACAGCATTTTTTTCACCATATTTGGTACTCAAATGACTGTAGCCATCAACTTTTCCTTCTCATCTGGTCATAATTCTGTTATAGGAAGGAGGGCTGGTTGGTGTTCAGTTACTGAAATCTATCCTACATTTCTAAGAAGAAGAAGAAAAAAAAGCAGTTTGCAAGATTCCTTGCTGGTGTGTGGCCAGCTCATCACACAAGTTGTTAGGAGCTGGCAATAACTGTAGAAGTACTTCTAAAGAAAGCTTTACAGGTTTACAAAATTTGCAGACTTCACTGTCTAGTTAAAATCAGTGGTTGACTTTATAGCAGTATCTTGTGTGGTTAAAACAAAGGGTCACGGAAAGGCATATCTGTTTAAAACAAAGCACTTTTTCCATCCAGGTTTATGATAGAGGAAGCAATTGAAAATGAATTATGCTTCCTTTTTCTCTTTTCAACGGAGTCTGCAAAAATGGAATATTGATGGAGAAAACATCCTGATTTTTAAATAATCTTTTACAGCTGGGCTGAGATTAGTCATTATAATTTGCTTCTTCCAACTGTAGGGACTTCAATTCATTGGACCCAAATGACCCTATTGGGAACAACCAACTGGCTTTAGATGTGGCTGAACAGGAGCTAGGCATTTCTCCAGTCCTCTCCAGCACTGAAATGGCTTCACTGTCTAATGATGAACAGCTTGGCTTGATCACTTACTTGAGCCAATTTTATGATGCCTTCAAGACTGCTCCAGGTAGAATGTTCCCAAGTATCCGGTTCTGAATGCAGCCAGTGAATATTTAGCTTGCAATATGCACTAGATGGAAATGAACAGGGCTAGATCAAAATAGATCAATCTATATAATCCAACATCCTTCCCTTTCCTTAATGATCAATCAGATTTTTATGGGGGCATTACATGTTAGACATGTCATTTCCCCCCCCCCCCGGTTGCTATTATAACAGCTATTATTGAAAACTGCATATCCTGATCTAGGAAATAACACCCAACTATCCTAACTGGTAGCAATTGGTAGCCTCATCCTCCATGAATTTGTCTAGTACCTTTTAAAGTCCTAGTTGGTGGCCATTACCATACTATGTGGTTATGAATTCCAAACTGGTTGAGGAATTGGTATTATTGGAAGGTCAGATAAAATAACAATGGAAGTTTACAATGATTCATTCACTGGATCTCTGTTGCTAGGCCTGTTATCTTCCTGTTGCCACTGCAGTTAAAATAGAGACATTATCATTCAGAGTATTCACTCCCCTTTAATAGATTTAATAATGAACTATATACCTGAAGGTTGATTCAGTACCAAAAAGTACCATATTCTCTCTTGTAGAATGGAAGGAGAAAACAGAGAAGCCTCTTATCCCATGTGGCACCAAAAGCGCTATCCTCTTTCTTAGCAAGCTACAGAAGACGTTATCTCTCTCACGTAAACGGAACTTGGTGAGTCATTCTCAGAAGAGATTGCGAGACTGTAACCAAACATTTCCAGTTTCTTCTATTCCTGCCATTTCATTAGAAATAAGGAGCAGTGGGGGGAGGGGTGTTCTAGAAGAGTCCTGAACCTTCTCTCTTTATTGACATTTCAAAGATACAACATTTGATTGCAGGAAAGTTCTACCTGGGATGCGGAATCCAAGAAGTTAAAGCAAGAGGCTGGGGTAAGTTCTCCCATCATTGTGTTTGTTTCATTTTTTAGTATCATCCTTCCTCTTGAAAAGAGATGTTAGTAGAACAGTAAATATTCAGTGTCATTACATAAGCTATTTATGTATATATTTATATCCTGCAATTCAGGGGTTTATTGCATAGGAGACCCTCTTCCCCACAAAAATGTTTTTTCCCACAACAGGAAACTTGTGAGATAATAATAATTATATTATGTTTGGTCACACAGTCAGCCAGATGTTGGCATTTAGCATTTTTAGCCACCTTCCCAAGGACCTGTAATTATTATTTCAACCTTTGTTTTGTACAACTCAAGCAGGTATACATAATGCTCCCGCCTCCTATTATCCCCACCACAACACTCCTGTGAGGTGAATTGAGCTGAGAAAGAAGGATTGGTCCCAACTAAGAGAGTCCCCATGGTTGAGGGAGCACCTGAACTTTGGTTTGTCTGGTCCTAGTTTGGTGCCTTAACCACTACACCATACTGATTCTACACTAAAACCAGTCAGCTAGAATAGGGATGGAGAATCTATGGCCCTGTCATGTCAATCATAGTATTTCTAGTTGGAATGATCTGGGTTAATGGAATTGACATCCAACATATTAAACTAATTTTGTTATTTCATTTGTGATTATTTCTGTGTGAAAGGGGTTATGCTGTCAGTTGTGTAATCACCCTTCAACAATCCTTGATAATCAGGTCTAGAATTTATCATAGGGAAAGATATTATGATTGCATGTAAATGAAGTTACAATCTGTCCTGAAAATCCTTCTGGTGTTTGGTTTTAAATAATATATCGGATCTAGAATAGGGAAGTAAGTAAGTAAGTAAGTAAGGAAGGAAGGAAGGAAGGAAGGAAGGAAGGCTTCTGTTATAAGCCAATGATGGAATAAGTATTCCTAGTAGATAATTTATGAAAAAAATAAGTCCTTGTGGTTTAAATCATTGAAGTAAACGGTATGAATTTTCTGACTTTGTAACACAAACATGGAAACCCCAGTACACATAATTTATGAACTACAGCTTTTGTGTGACTAATACGTTGAACTCTGCATCCAAATTCTAATCCCAGTGGTTAAGTTCCACCTGTAAAAATTGGAATTCAAATGTCATTTGACAAATTCCATCCTCCAGCTTGCTGGCCATTCAACCCCAAATAAATTTTGGCAGGGGCAATAAGAGATTCATTTTCAAAACTCAACTGAGACTTGTTCAGTTCATTTCCCTCCACAAAACTATTACAGTAAAATTTTGGCTTGTGGGAAATTCTTGTGGCTGAGATGTATTTGTCTGATTGACAAAACAGCTGCCAAAAGTTTGGATGGCGCCCAAACTATCTATTTTTTCACCAGAGGTCAGAACACTTGTTTCTCTGTTTAACAAAAGGCTCTCTGAAACAGCTGTTGGGCCAGGTGATGAGGAAGAAGCTGGATTAACCAAACAATGAATGAAGTTGCTATTACATCTCATTAGTCAGTTACATGCTATCAGGAAGCTCAACAGCACTATTCAGGTTCAGACACTCCCAAGAAAGGATTACTTTGCTGGATGTTTCAGGGGCTCTGTCTCCCTAAGGATTTTGCTGCCTTATTTTGCGCTACGTTACTGGAGTTTAACATATAATGCTGTCTGAAATATGTCTCTAGAAATCTAGGAAGTTACCCCATAAGTCCAACCATGAGTTCATCTAATCTGAAATTGCTGTAGTAACTGATAGCAGCTCTTCAGGATTTTCAGACATTGTTATTTTTTCAGTCCTTTCCATAAAGGGTAGGAATTAAATCTGGGACTTCCTTCACATTTCACTCTTCCTGATAGCATTCAAAATGAGCACGATCATGGTTAACTGTCAGATTAAAAAAATCCAAAGGGCATTTCTCTCTCATACACACGTCTATCAGGTATCTTTTATAATTGGTATCCATTACTAAGTGTTTGTTTACTTGGAGAACAGTTGTACTATGACCTCTGTTCTCTGGCTAACAGCACTGGGATTTCTGGGTGGTAGACAAAGCAACTACTGTACTCTTGATATTGTTAGCACCTGAGTTGTTCACTTTGCAACTCATTGCAATTACCCATTCTGCACATTGCTCTGGCTGCTACCATCACAATTGATTGCCACACCCTCGTTCTTTTTTGGTTTTCTGACCTGGCTGATGCATGAAACCTGATAGCACAGATCAGCAGATGAGACTTGATCTGAGGAGAGAGTCTGCTTGAGGTTTAAGATTGCTCAGAATTTATGGCCCTAAGGGAAACCATTGATCTTCTGATAGACTTCACCTGTCTCTCGGATGAGGAGCAGTGATGCCTGCTATTTCTGTGGAGATCGTGTCTATATCCTGGAGCGGGTCAGTGCTGAAGGGTGCTTCTTCCATCGAGGCTGCTTCAAATGCCATTACTGTAAAATAACACTGCGACTGGGAGATTTTGTCTTCAATGAAGATGATGGTGAGTAGAGAGAACAACTTAGAGCCAATCTGGAAGCCTGACAGACACAGCTATACAGGGAGAGTAGAAATGGTTTGAGTTGTCTGAACTCTGACTGGTTGTATTGTTTCATGTTTTGTTGTCTCCAGACAGAGTTTTAGTAGAGCTGTATAACCAAACGTTTCAGGGCATTATGCCAAACAGCCTTAGGAGTGACAGTCTATAATGGTATACGGGAATGACCTTAGGAGACAGAAGAGATCCTGTTTAGCGAACAAAAAGGTAAGAGAGGTTAAGTACACAATTCAAAAGGGAATTTTTCTTCCTCCTCAGTCTGTGAAAAAGAATGCGGCAAATTTATACTATAAGATTTACAAGATTATGTTAATGTAGCCTTACAATAATATAGAATTAGCTTAACTGGTAGTATTTCCTGTCTGGTCCACCTGGGATGGCTGACATCAATCTTGCAAGCCAATTGCACTTTATTCTAAAGCTACATTAACATAATCTTGCAAGTCTGATAGTACAAATCTCCCACCATCTTTTTTACAGCCTGAGAAATAAGGGAGGTTCCTTTTTGAATTTCTCTGCCCATTATGCAGCTATGGGCTGTACCTTCTCTTATCTGATTGTTCCCTAGGCAGTATCTCTTTTATCTCCTAAGGTCATTCTCACATACCATTACATCCCCAAAGACTTCCAATAGTTGACAGGGAGGAAACTATTAAATAACTGATTGCAAAGGGATAATGATAATTATTTTTCCATGAATAATATATATAATCAAATCAAAACCAGTCATTTTCTGGTGCCACACATTCTTTGGTGTGTTATCTTTGCTACCCTACTCAAAGGCAAGTGAGGCCTTCAGCCTGGAAAATATGCACCCTTGTTTCAGATTCTTTCATTGCCGCAGCCTCCTTTTATTTAATCCTGAAGATTAAATCTGCATTTATAATAGCATTTCTGGTTGGGCAAATGAATTGCAGTCACATACTGACCTGATTGTTTCTTCCTAGGCAACTTCTATTGCAGTTTGCATTCCTGGGTCTCATCAGACATGACTGCCCCCAGCAAAGCTTCCTTCAAAGAAGCATATGAGGTAGGTAGGATGGCTGCTTTTCAGAATCCAGCTGAGGGTTAGAGAAGAGCAGGAACAAGTGGATAATCTTGAAAGGATTGATATATATGGAAAGGGTTTTTAATGTGATTTTGAGTTAGGGATAACCAATGATTTATCCAGATTGCTGACAGGGCTGAGGTGTTGACAAAAAGTGCTTTAGAACAATATCTTTAGAAATATGATGTAATATAAGCAGGTGTATGTCATTTGCATCTTGGACAACACAAACCTAATTTCCCACATATTCTAAATAGAATCTCAGCTGGGAATCATTGACCAGAAAACTGATTATGCATGTGGCTAGCAAAGTAAAACTGATGATTTGGGGTGTGGCTACTGTGAAAAAAAGGAATTCTGTAAGGAAGAAATCAAAAGCGAACTAGCTGGTATCATAATGCCTTTATAGAAATCTACTGTACTTCGGATCATTGTGTCTCTCTTCCCACCCGCCAAAAGAAATGATTGTGTTTGAACACCACTGAATGTTGATTTATTGCGACAAGCAGTTTGCTGTTGATACTGCTTATTTGCCCATGCTTGATTCCACCTTCTTGTGGGAGTGATTAAACAAACTTGGACAGGAAGCATAACATATAAGAACTGTGAGCAGTGGCTTTGCTTCCTAAGCCAGAATCATTCCAAGAACAAAATGTAGTATATGACTCTTATTTATAAAAACATATCATACTACTTTATTTACATGCAATAATGAATCCTGTTTTCTAAGATGCCGCTCCTACTTTCATTCAAAATTGAGAGGGAACAATTATAACACTGTTTTCTCTTCCTCTGTAAAAGGTGGAAGAAAAGGACAATCAAAATGATAGGAAACTGGCTTCAAATTCAGAGTTTTCATATTTTAAAATAATTTTTATTGAAGAATTTTTTTAACAAAGTAAATAGCCTAAAAGAAAATAAAGAAAGAAAAATAGTAAATAGTGAAAAGAAAGAAAATAGAAATGGAAATGAAAAAAGAAAAAGACTATAAAGAAGCAGCCTCTGATCTTCTTGGTAGATATTATAAATACATTTATATTTTGCCCTCCCTCTCTAAAGTTATATCGTAATACTTTTCTTTCTATAAGCCACCCTTTCTGATCTGTAAATCCATAAATCACAAATTTGTTTTTCTCTTTTTTCAGCAAAAAAGCCCATGAGACATTCCCAGTACTGATAAATCTAGTTGTTGATGTTTCTCTAATCAAACAAATTAATTTTGCTATCTCTGTTAGTTCTGTTTCTCCATTGTGGGTATTTTAGAGTCTTTCCATTTTTTGCATATAATAGTCTCGCAGCAGTAATTGTGTATCAAAGTAATCTTCCATGGCTGTTTTCTAATTGGCTATCCATTAATCCCAGCAAGAAAGGTTCTAGTTTCAGTTAAATGTTGATCTTTAAATTTCTTTGTGTCATTATATGTATTTGAGCCCAGAAATTTGGGACTTGAGGTTTAAGAGGTTGAGGCTTGAGGTTTTATCATTCCCACCAGGGATGATAAAATGATGCTTCATGTTGTCCATATTTCCAACATAAATTTGAAGTACCTTTATACATCCAGACAATTTTTCTGGAGTCAAACACCAATGATATATCATTTTATAAAAAGCCATTTTTAGATTATAACATAATGTAAAATGTCAATCCTTTTAACCATATATCTTTCCACTGTTCCATCAGTATGTCATGTCTAAAGTTCTTAGTCTATTTTATCATGCAATTTTCATTTGTTCTTTTTCTGTTACAAATGTCAGTAAAAGTTTATACTATGCATTTTGGGAGTTGTATGTTCATCAGTTGCACATAGTTCAATTTCAAATTCTTTCATCTGCTGTTCAATTCCAAATGTTCTATTATTTACCATAAATCTTTCTCTTAATTGTGCATATGGAAACCATTGAAAACTCAATTCCTCTGCAATCAATTGCTCTCTTGATTTCATTTTATATTCTCCATGTTCCTGTTCTAACAACTCTAAAACCCATTTTTCTTTATGTATTTTTCCCCCCTATAAAATGATTCTTGTGCTGAGACTCATAAAGGAATTTTCAGGCACAATCTGAGTTTATATTAGAAGTACCATATTGAGAATATGAAATATATAATTAATATCCTTAGTTTTATTGTACCATAAAAAACCGTAACATCTGAACCTCAGATTGTGCGCTTCTAATTCTAAAATTTGTTTATTTCTCAACAAAACCTACTCTTTTATCCAAACAAAACAGCAGGCTGTGAAATACAATTTCAGATCTGGCAGTTCCAATTCTCTTTGTTCCTTTTCATCTTGAAGTATTTTATATTTAACTTTGTGGGTTTTTTTCCTTACCATACAAACTTAGATATATATCTTTTTGCCATTGTTGCTAGCACCTGTAGATTTTCAATAAATCTGATCACAGATCATGTAAGATGGGAAATGCTTCTTGTAGGATATGATCAAGTCTTTGAGTGCTGTACCACAGTAGGGCAGTGGTTAAAATAAAAAGATTAGACAGATGCCTGGAGATTAATGTTCTCAGTGGTTTTATTCATCATGATATATATTATTTATCATGTAATTTATTTTTATTTATTTATTAGCTATAGTTTTGGAAACAGTGTGACTCTCCATATTATTTGAGTTATACCTCCCCTTTAATTCAGGAGCCTCAAACAACATCAATAACACTCCCTCCCTCTATTTTTCCATATGACATTAACTGTGGATCAAGAAGAATGACCAGGCCTGAGTCCAATGCTGAAGATAGCTTAGAATCTGGCTCTCTTAGTCCAACATTTAAACTACAATACCACAGTTACTGTAGTTGCAGGAAACAGGCAGATTCTGTTGCATTAATAGGCCTCAGTATCTTATAGGCTTTCTATTCAGAACCTTTCTTGGCTACTTTGAGAACAGAGTATCTGTTTGATAAACTTTTCCAATGTTTTTATATACTTGCAACTCGTTTGCAAACCTGTTGTGTTTTGTTTCTGCAGGATTCACCTTATCTGAGCAATCCACCAGACAAAGACATTTTAGACTTGACTACTGAAGAAGAGAGGATGGTAAAAAATTCCAATTGGCAAAGCCTGGATGAGAATATGTCTCCCATTGTAGATCAGCTGCCAGAACGTCAGCCTGAATCACTTCAGAAACAAGTTAGTGAAGGCCCCAGCCTATTCCCATCAAAAAAGGAAGGTGCTGATACAATAAGCTCCTCACGGCGTCCACATCAACAGTCCTCTCTTATGGGAGTTGGGGAGCTGAGTGACTCTGTTCCTAAGGCTGATTCAGCTTTTCAGATTGATGGAAGCAGAAGATCACCTGAAAACATGGCACAGGACCGAAAAAAGTGGAGTGATCACTCTAAGGGAGAGCCTTGTCTCAATCTTCTTTCACAAGGGCCAAGAATTGGTCTTACTATTTCTGGAGAAGGTTCAAACCCCAGACTAGAGCAAATCCAATGTGAAATCACCCAGAAGAAAAAGATTCGCTTGTCGGACTTGGAAAAGCTTGAATTATCCAGACTGAGTCTAATTTCAAACCCGTTTGATGTTTCTCATACGGGGCTGGGAGAATCCAGCTTCAGCAGAGAATCAGGTTATTTTCCTTGCTTATTTTTTTATTATATCTCAAATGTTCCAAACAGATGATAAAAGGGAGGAGCAGAGACTCAACAAAAGAGAATGAATGAAAATCAGATGTCTGTGATTTACATACTTTTTATCCATTTTATGTATTTTTCCATAATGCAAGCGCAAATCCTGTCATGGTATTCATCATATTCAACATTTTTTCCTTTGTTGCCATTTAAAAAGATTGTGAACTCTGTGTTCTTCCTTGCAAACAAAAAGGTCCCTCATCATTAACCACAGAAAGTTGTTCTCTAGTTTTTTTTTTTCCATGACTCTGAAAGTCACAACAGGTGGTGATATTTGAGGCGGTCTCCAGCTTGCCTATATTAGATCAAGCAGCATGCCAAGCCCTTTCCTGCACCCTTTGGGGTTTTTTTGTGTTTACTATGCAATTTTCTCATTCCCTACATCCTGCAGCATTTCTTTACCCACTTCATTTCTTGGCGCTCTTCAGAAAACCAATTCTTCAAATTTTTACGGAGAAAATAGTACTGCTGTAGGTTCAAGTTACATCTTTAACCTAAAGAGCCCCTGTGACTCTGTTACATGCAAGGTGAATACAGTACTTTTACTCATAATAGCTGCTTTTCTTTGGCAGATTTTCTGGAGGTTGCCAGTGACAGTGACAGTGACAGTGAAGAGGAGGAAGATGAAGAAAAAGGGAGCTTAGATCTTGGGACAGACATGGTGAGTCAAGAGCCCTAAACCTGAATTCTAACAAAACAATGTTCGCATGCATAATTCAAATGTTTCTCAGAGCTACTTTCATGTATTAATAATCCAGGAGAATCATATTGTCACTACATTATTAGCTGAAAAACATTTTCCATATTTTCTTAATTATTTTTCACCTTAAAAAAGTCTCTTATACATGCTCTTCTGTATGCCATCAAAGGTTTTAAGTTTCTTCTTTTTCTAAATATTTTCCTTTTCTGGTTTTCCTGTCTACAAGCTTCATGGTTGCCTTTCTTTTCTCTTTATCATGTATCATCAACCTGGGCACTTTCCATGTGAATGGACTCTGGCTTGCAGAATTCTCAGCTCCAACAGTACTGACTAGGGAATTCTGGGGAACATCTGCATCTGGAGGATGCATAAAGTTGCCAAACATACTTTCACTACTTTTTCTACTATAATCCCAGAATGTACTTTTTTTTCTATAATCCCAGAATGCTCTTTTCCCTGTACACATCACCTATTCTTTTTCTCCTTCCTTACACCACAAGGTTCTTAGAAGATCCATTTCTATTCCCTGTATCTTCTTACGTGTGATCGCTATTTTACTATGGTCACCCTGGCGTTCTTTCGCTGCCGTCTCTTTACAATTATTATCAAGGCTTTGAAATCCTAGCAACTCCTTTCAATGAAAGGCTCACAAAATGGATAAATTCAGACTGGCACAAATCTCAACACACTTCTTTGAATCCATAGGATAGGAGTAATGTGAGAAGCAGTTACTTGGGATTTGACATCTTTTTAGTCAAAGTGATATTAATCTTTAATTTTCCATAACAGGGAAGTAAGAGTTAGAAAATGGCCATGGGTAATTTAGAATCAGTTTGTAGGTCTGTGAAACAACAGCAAATGTTTGTGTACTACAATATCGATTCACGAGACTCTTACAAAGCAACTAGGCTATCTACTGTGAAAACTGGGAATGCCTCCATGCACTTTACAAATTAAGATTCTGTAGTTAGCACACACTTTAAAAGGTGTAGACTGGATTGTTGGTTATTCTTGAATCTTTGACAGTCCTTTCATCTTTTGCCCAAAGATCCAGACCAGGTCTGAAATCATGGTTTACAATTTGGGTTGTGAGCAACTTATTTGCAAACCTGATCCTTGTGCAGGCAAAGCAGGTGGCATTGTCAGAACCTGCTCCTGTTACCTGGTAATTTCTGGCTTGCTATGTATTATATCTGTAGTTTTTGGAATATTAGTGAAGTTCAGTATTTTTATTCATTATTTTCAATTTTTGGCCTTTCAAAATAGGAAAATTTTTGTCAAGGGGGTAAGAAGAAAATAAACTTAAATCACAGAAGCATGATGAGTTGCATCATCGTGTCAATACATTTGTTTCTTTTTCTAATCTTACTTGTGGTACTAACAGGCACTATATCTATTCCTTCATTACTGGGGGCGTGTAGTGCAGAATTTGGGAACTTTACTTCAGTTAGTTCACCAGGCATCTTGATTTTGGGGGAAATTTTAAGCATAGCCCATAAAGAGTAATTTATGCTTGGGATGCAGGAGTCCAGTTGATTTTAGCAATCATGTAAGCAGCAATGGCTAGCCTGAGCCAATCACTGCAGATAGACAGTAGCTTTTAAGTCGTCCCGCATGACCTTGTCTTGTTTTTACTTGTGCACGTTGTCATTTGCAGCATTTTCTCAGCTTCACTGAAGACACTCAGTATCCAACTTGGAAGAAGACACTGGTGCGACGTGCTAAAGAGGCCGAAATGAAGAGGTTTTGTAAAGCTCAGGTGATTTTTTTTTCTTTGTCAACATATTTATGCAGAATTTATTCAAATAAGGAAATGGGATATAAAAATGTAGAGAAATCAAGGCAGGTTCACTTCCTGGTCTCTGCAGCTATGAAGACTATTGTTATTTCCCAAAGAGCATTTATGGGCAATATTGCAAATGTGTACAGCAGCATTTCCACAAGTGTGATACCCATTATCTATGGACAGTATCCTTGTTCGGCTGTTCTCTTTCCACATCATTAGAGCTCCGCATGGGGAGGTGGGACAGGAAAAAGGGGCATGGCTGGCATGCAAAATCTTCCCTCCTATGACTATAATAAGGAAGATATAACGTCTGATCCTCAACTTAAAAGTTCATTTAGTGACCATTCAAAAGTTACAACGGCACTGAAGAAAGTGACTTATGACCATTTTTCACACTTATGAAGGTTGCAACATCCCCATGGTCACATGATCAAAGTTCAGATTCTTAGCAACTGACTCATATTTATGACAGTTTCAGTGTCCGGGATCATGTTATTACCTTTTGTGACCTTCTGACAAGCAAAGTCAATGGGAAAGACAGATTCACTTAACAACTGCAGTGATTCTCTTAACAACTGTGGCGAGGAAGGTTGTAAAATGGAGCAAAGCTCACTTCACAAATGTCTTGCTTAGCAACAAAAATTTGGGGCTCAATTGTAGTCGTAAGTCAAGGACTACTTGTAGCTGTGTGTGAAAATGTATAGGGATACTTCTGTATTATCCATGCTTTTTGTGTTGCTTTTGCAAAACTTCTTCTGTGACATCATTACTGCCTTAGCAGTGAAGCTGCCCAGATCCTAATAAAGTCTTAAATGTGATGTCGTTTTACTGACCTGTTTTAAAAGGGTTCCTTTTCCTAAAATTCCCTCCCCTGCTTTAGAATCTGGTCGCAGGTTCCTCTTCTTACATTTCCAAACCTTTGTTTTAATCAGTTTTTATTTTGACCAACATTTTTGCAGGCCATCCAGAGGCGGTTAGAAGAGATTGAAGTGACTTTTCGGGAGCTTGAGAAACAGGGCGTCAAGGTGGAACAATCTCTGCGAGAAGAGGCAGGTAAGAATCTGAAGCTTCCTTGAATAGGAATGGTGTTTGAGATGGCCGCGTGTGAAGAACGGGTGCCACAAAGTGGTATAATGGTTCTTCTTTAAGCTAACATGTCAGATTTAACCTCCTACCTTCATCATATTCTTTAGGAACAGAGTCTGAACTGAAGAAACAGTGGGTGAACCAATTGCTCACATTGATTCAAAAGAAGAACAGCTTGATGTCTGAAGAGTCTGACCTCATGATTGAGTAAGGAACTCTGCAAGTTATGTCAGTTAAGATCTGTAACTCATTTTGACTATAGAAAATGGATCCAGCACTGCTCTTTTATGTGCCATAGGAATTACAAGAGAGACAGTCCATTTGCAGTTTTTCCTCTCACTAACATAACCTTCAATCCAGCAAGTGGACTAGCTTCATACCTTGCATAAAAAAATGACCAGAATGACTCCTAGAGAGCATGAACAGTATAAACACCCCCCATGTTGTGTCCCAGAAAAGTGTTAGAAATCTAATTTCACAATCCAAATAAGGTAATCTGTTTGACATCATGTATTAATAAAAGCATTCTGTCCAAAAGAGGAAAATATAATTGACATCAACTCATAGTCCTTTATTATTTCAGTTATCTTTTACCTAGTTCCAAAAGCCTTCCCAATGTTTTAGATTAATAGCTCCTATAATATTTTATAATACTGTTACTTCTAGCATTGTGAAGCCACCCGGTATCGTTTTGGAGTTGGGTGACCTACAAATGTGATAATAAATACCAGAACCAACACAATCTATGGTTAGAAGTTATGACAATCCGAATCAAAAACAAGCTTTTTGATAACACTTTTCATACTATTAACTCAAATCAAAATCAAGAAAAAGCTGTACTATAATAGCATTCAAAGGCTACTACCTGTAAGTCAAAGGCTGAATTCAACTAAGTAAAGTCCTGTCATATGTAATGGTGACCAGATTTTCATAAATTAAACTTCCAAACCACAGTGGCTGAATATTAAGCTAAGCTTTAATAACTATATGTTGGATTAAGCCAATATGTAATAACTATATAATGGCCAATTGCAATATGACTCCATCATAGACTGTGACTTAAAATTCTGAGCGTGAATCCCTGGAAACGTGTGGACAGGCAATTTATATTAGAGGATACCTTAGGATGAAAGATCTGCAAGAAGAATATAAAATAAACATTCCACTGGTGAATGATCAATAGTTAATAAAATAACTTGGAAATACTGACAATCTTGCTAGGATACTTCTGTTAGCAAGGCAAATATGCCTAAGGTATAGTAACGTCATCTATTCTCTTCCTCATTTAGTATGGAGCTTTTGAGATGAGTGTGTGTATATATGTATGTATACATGTATGTCTGACTGACTGACTGACTTTCTATCTGTCTGTCTGTCTATCTATCTGGAGGACAGCACGTTGCAATGAGAGAATCAGTATAGAGGCTCCATGGAAGGGAATTCCTATTGTTATCAGGAACTTTTTCTCAATTGTGGATTGTAATAACGACAATTTTTTTAGTGTGCAAGAGCTGACGCTAGAGGAGCAGCAGTGCCAGCTGGATCAAGAACTACGCCGCTACTATAATATGGATGGTAAGAAAGAACATAATAGGTTGTTGTGGGAAAAGAGGAGGGGAAGGTGTGTTAGATACGTTCGCCATTTTGAGTTATTTGTACAATAATAAAGGTGGGATACAAATGAATAAATAAATAGCTGCCCAAGTTCATTATGAGATGAACAATAATCGTTTTTTGCACTGAAAAGAGCTGCTGTTTAATTAACTCAATTAATGTATACTCAGAATTGTTTTTGGTTTTAGATAACCAAGAAATTTGCTAATGTAGCTGCCCTGTTATGATTGTGAAAAGCCAGGAATCTGATGATCATAAGTCCTGAAAAACCCAACATTGTGAAAGTTCTAAATAATAGACATGTCCATTGGGTTACTAACAGAATCTAAAAGTCAAAAGAAAAAGGTTGGTTGCAAAGAAGAGTTTCACATTTGCCTTCTGTTAACACTATGTGTGTTTTGTCAAAGTTTGGCTTTGACAGCATATTTATTATCATTTGCAGTCTGGTATTCTCAGGATAGGAAATGTAAACAAAAGAATGCTAGTATATGTTTACCTTTTGATCATTTTTTTTAAATAATAAAAGAATTTAATTGAGAATATTCACGCTCATTCAGCAAGACATTACATAGAGCCGAAAACAACATGCATTCGTTTCTTGAATTAAAAACAAAACAGCACTTAGGTATGTTCACTCTGTGTGCATGGAGTGATATGTTGGGGCAGAAAAACTAGTAACATTAAATAATAATAGTAATAAAGTTGGAAGGGACCTTGGAGGTCATCTAGTCCAATCCCCTGCTCAGGCAGGAAACCCTATACCACTTCAGACAAATGGCTGTCCAGTCTCTTCTTAAAAACTTCCAGTGTTGGAGCATTTATATTCATTCATTCATTCATTTATGTTTATAAAAGTATCATTCTTGGAAGTCTATTCCTGATGAAATTTACCTCCCAGGTTTCCACGATATCTTTTCACTTTGACAAAATAGTTAGTAGATAAAGGATAGGGAATTTGCAGCTCCCCAGATGTTGCCCCTTTCCAAAAATTGTCAGCCTCAGCACAATCAAAGAAGTTTGGAGGTGTAATCCAGATATTTGCAGTTCTACCACTTCTCCTTTTTTATGTAATTGAATAGCAAGAATGGTTCTTTATTCTGAGCATGTACTGTTTGTTTTAAAGATTCTTTGAAAACGTCTGAGGACTGTGAGGCAGAGAAGACGATCCTGTCCCAACTGCTTGCAGTTGTGAATCAACGCAGTGCTCTGATCGAGATGCAAGAGAGGAAGAGGCTCAATGAGCTTTCTGAGCATGTTCCAATGATGGAAAACGCCTAGAATATTTGAGATCAGGTTTACCCGGTGGATACATTTGCTGAATGCCCTTCATATTTGGCAAGACATTCTGTTTTGGCAAAAAAACACCACTTGGAAAAGGAACTTAGCTGCTGTTTTATACTCTGTGACAGCTTAGCAGTAGCTTTCCTGCTGTAAGTGTGGAAATATGCTCATTATGAGATGAACAATATGCTCAGACCGACCCTGAAGCCCTGAAGTGGTTCATGCGCTTAGATATCTGTCCATGTTTCAATTATTTTGAATACCACCAGAGGAAGTCCCAAAATTGAGAGTTTATGCAAAGTTTCCCCTTGACGGTTAGTGCCTGATGATGGTTCTAGGTGGAGCTAAACAAGCCTGATCTTGTTGCAACTTGATGCATATGATGCAACTACGTTTTAAGTGTTTTAGGAAATAATAAGGAAACTATGTAGAACTGCTTTTAATTGTTTGCAGATACAACTGCTGAAGGCTTTAAGAAAGCAGCCTATTTGCAGCATTTGGAGGGAAAATAATATTCAGAAGATGTACTGTACGTATTATTTAGCGACAATTGTATATATTTGCAGTTAGCAAGCTCCCCTTTGACACAGGGCCTCATCCAACAGAAAACATTTCTTTCACTCTGCTGCTGCAGGTGACCATGTTTGTGATCATTCTAGATGTGGTAAATTAGGAGGGGCTGTATGGTTTAAGCGGAGAAAACATTTTACAATGTTCTAAAAGCAAAAAAGCATGATGCTTTCATGAAGATCAGAGGAGCCTACAAACTGTCCAGAGTTGTATTCTAGAGGAGGAAGATTAGTTAAAATCTCTTGAAGGATACACAGAATCAACAGAGTATTTTAGAGGAAAGAAATAGATGCCCTACAATAAAAATTAAAAATGCCATCATCTAAGGGCGTCTTGTCATAATAAATGTCCAAGGAGAAATATACCTCTCTTGCATTATTTCTCCATGTATGTACAAGCATAACAGATGCTGTAGGACAAGCTCTTGAAGCTGGACAAACACGGTTGGAAAATGTATGCTCTTCCTGCAAAATAAACGATGAATGTGGATGCAGATCGCAAATACGTTGCTCCTGAAGAAAATTTTCAAGTGAACAGACGTTATTTGGTAACTAAAGTCAGTTTACAATCTGAAAGTGTCTACTTCTGGATCGATATAAGCCAACTGGCTTTTCACAGGCACAGCTCCAATAAACATAATGGAGTGAAAAGGAAACACTGTTCTGCCTTTTTTTATCCACGTTAATTTCACAATAGAGTAAATATTCATCCAGCTTTTTCCAAAGTTTTCTTGGTCTTGACCCAATTTCTTCCAAGAAGTGGCCAGGATTATGTTATTTGGCTTTCAGCAAGCTGCAAATGGCTGCCAAAGCAGACAATATAGTTCTTAGTTAGAGGTAATTAAGTCAAGCCTGACCTTGAATTTGAACTGAAACTAGTTAAAATTAATTTCCACATCAGGTATTTTTGAGAAAAAAAAGAAAATTAGTAGATGAAAGAAATGCATGTACCAAAGATACCAGAGAGCTAGTTGCCTACTTCTTTATAGACACTGGATGATTTATAACTAATTTCTATTATATTTTCAGCATGGGTATCAAAGCTTTTGTGTGTTTCAAAAATCACTTTTTGACTCAAGTTTCTCTCGTCTTGGTTGGTTCTGATTAACCCAACCTGAACATAGGTGTAATAGGGTTTGCAAACATTTCAGTCATTGAGTGTTCTAGGCACAAGATCCAGGTCTGACTGGTCTGTGTGCCCTGTCCAAAATACACCTATATCATCTGGGCAAAAGTGGGGAGGGCGGCAATGACTAAAGGAAGGGAGGGGGGGAAACAGAAAGATCAAGGGAGGGCTGTGTGCATGTGCCATAAGGAGACAGGAGGGAGGGGTGGGGTATATCAGCTTTACCATACACATCGAATAAGACTCCATCAAATTTGTCTTGGCCAAAACCCAGATGTTTCAGATTTTGGTTACACTGGACTCTGACACTCTTGAGAGAACAGGAATTATGACTTAAGGTAACATGTATTGCTCTTCTCTGTGAACTTAAGGAAGGATGGACTATATATGATATTCCGCTAAATTCTGAAGATATCCCTTCCTAAAATTAAGCACCAGGAACTGGACAGCTCCTAAAACTAATGCACTGTACATGACCATCTAAAGCAGAGGCCCCCAACCTTTTGGGCACCAGGGACCAGTTCCGTGGAGAGAGGTTTTTCTTTCCATGGACCGGAGGGGATGTGGTTTTGTATGCTGCCTGCATCCTGCGGATGGGGCTTTCCTTGTTTGTGTGGACTGGTTGCTGACATGCCGCGGCCTGGTACTGGTCCAGGGACCGGGGATTGGGGACCCCTGATCTAAAGTGTAAAGAAATGCTAAAGTGTTACCCAACAAGGTACATATTAAAAATAGATTTCCATCAATAATTGTTACCATTTACTTAGTACAGCTGAAAACATTATTGTTGTAGGAAAAGTAGCTGTATAATTAGTAGCATTTTATTTTACGCATCTGTTCTTACCTTTCTCAATACAAATGTAACCGTCCAGTATGTGTTTAATTCTATTAAAATAGTATTTTACAATAAAAATTGTTTTTTTTTAAATAGCCAGGTTAGTTTCACAATCCACCCATGTCTTCAGCACAAAAAAAATCTAAAAAATGTTACTGCTCAAAAATCCAGCCTATTAAACCCCCCCTCCCTTTACAGTACCAAAGGTTAATTACCATTCCTTATTTAGAACCAGTGAACTGTTATTGCTGAGAATCACAGAGGGATTTGTTACTCCCACCTCTGCCCAGTCTCTTGGTTCATGCCATCAGTGCAGCCATCAAATGTTTCACCTGCTGTTGAATTTCTCCTGGAGTGTCTGCAGCCCCACCCGCATTTGTTCCTCTGTTCCCCGCAGCACCTTCACTTCGATGATGTGGAAGAGATACAGCACAGCTGAGATAAGCAGGACTGACACAGAGAGTAGACTGAGCAAAGAGAAGGAGAACTTGGGGAAGGGCTGCTGGAGAGCTCCACCAAACATGGAACTCATTGCCATGGCTCCTTGTATGACCAGCAGAAGCAGAGCCAGGACGGCCATGCGGCCACACAAATACTGCTGCCGTTTTGCTGAATGTAACCCCACTTGCACCTCCAGACGGGCTTCGTTCAAGACATCCACCAGAACCGGCTCTAAAAGTAAAGAGAATAGTGATTTCAACCACATGAAGCTGTTGATTCTGCACAGTGAGATCCAGCTGTCACAGACCGATTGCTATTTTATCAAGAGAAGGAGAGAGGGAGTTATTTGGCTACTCCCGTGGACAGTTTTCTTTCTGAAATTAACAAAATGGGAAATTACTTTTATATAAGTGCCTGGGTAGAAAATTATAGATGAATAATGATATAGGCTGTGACAAAATAGAGAAGGCAAACAGCATCTGCTATCCTGCTACAGAATCTCCTAGATCAGGGGTCCCCAATCTCTGGTCCGTGGCTCAATGTTGGGCCGCAGCCTGTTCGGAACCAGGCCGGGGAAGTGGTGGGCAAGCCCATGTGCATGCAAAGTTGCATTTGTGAAAGCAGCACACATGCACCCATTAAAACCATTCCTTCTCCCCATCCTGCTACCACCGCCTCCACCAGTCTGCCGAGCCGGAAAGGTTGAAAACCGCTGTCCTTTAATTACAAACTGTAATTACGGGAGTGATCACTTCAGACTAAACATGGGGTATGATAAGAAGCTTTTCATACACAAACTTGCATAGAGTTAAATGAGCTGAAAAAGCTAGCAGGGAGTAATATTGTTCTGGCTCAGATTCCAAGAAAGAAAAGAAGACAATCGGCAAGCAAGGAAAGATTTAGCAGTCCCATGCAGGCTCTGGGGTAATTGATGATCACTGAAAAAGAGAATTATGTAACAAAGCACTGGTATATTCAGCAGAGACATCCAGAGGGAGAAGAAACCAGAGAGAAAAATCAAGTTTGTGTTGATTGCAAGAGAACGCCAGCTAAAGTTTTAATTAAAGTCCTTGATTAACTCTCTTAGGAATTTAGTAACAATTACATTTTAATGGAGGTATAGTCAATTTTAGCAGAAGCCCGGCTATTGCAGGCAGGGAGCTAGTTAATCCCAGAATGGTAGAGCAATTAGGCCATAAAGCAATTCACTATATTCCCTTGAAGACAGAAACCAAAAGAGGAAGAGTAGCTGAAGCTGTTGAAGATAATAGTAATAGTAACTACTACTAGTCAATAGTAGTAACTGTAAGAGGGATCTCGGAGTCTTAGTGGACAATCACTTAAATATGAGCCAGCAGTGCTGCAGCTGCCAAAAAAGCCAACACAGTGCTAGGCTGCATTAACAGAGGGATAAAATCAAGATCACGTGAAGTGTTAATACCACTTTACAATGCCTTGGTAAAGCCACACTTGGAATACTGCATCCAATGTTGGTCACCACGATGTAAAAAAGATGTTGAAACTCTAGAAAGAGTACAGAGAAGAGCAACAAAGATGATTAGGGGACTGGAGGCTAAAACATATAAGGAACGGTTGCTGGAATTGGGTACGTCTAGTTTAATGAAAAGAAGGACGAGAGGGCACATGATAGCAGTGTTCCAATATCTCAGGGGTTGCCACAAAGAAGAAGGAGTCAAGCTATTCTCCAAAGCAGCTGAAGGCAGGACAAGAAGCAATGGATGGAAACTGACCAAAGAGAGAAGTAACCTAGAACTAAGGAGAAATGTCCTGACTGTTAGAACAATTAATCAGTGGAACAACCTGCCTCCAGAAGCTGTGAATGCTCCAACACTGGAAGTTTTTAAAAAGAGACTGGACAGCCATTTGTCTGAAATGGTATAGGGTTTCCTGCCTGAGCAGGGGGTTGGACTAGATGACCTCCAAGGTTGCTTCCAACTACTATTATTATTGTTGTTATTGTTATTATAAATGTATATATTTCTTTGTTATGCTGCAAATAAAAGTGAATTAGTTCACAAGAAAATCATTGCCCGCTGCCTTTTGTTTGACCGATCCTAAGAACCCTCTCACAGAGGCATAGGGAATCTGCAGATTCCAGACACTGCTTAATATTATAGATGCTCGAAGAATCTTTCAATAATAGATAGCCGCACTGTCTAGGAATGATGGTCATTGTGGTACAGCAATAGCTGGAAGGCCACAGATTCTCTGTTCCTCCTGCTTTTGCTTCGCTTGTGGGAAACCAATGAAATTTGAACACTCACCAACTGGAAGATTGTTTTCACTTTTATTTGATTGGACTACAGAGAGTGTCACTTTGACAGCTTCATGGTCAGAGTAAGGAAAATCCTTGCCAGGAGCGGTTCCTGTAGTAGTTTCATGAATATTGCATCTAATATCATATTGAGATGAGCCCTATAAGAAAGGACAGACAAGGTGGCAAACTGTTCGTTATCTGCAGATAGCATAACTAAAGAAACATCTCCCAAAATGTTATAGCTAGATTAATGAGCTACAAATAATGCAGAAAAAAAATGGAATGTTGTTTTCTTAGAAAAACAGTAGCAGTTTGAAATGTCCAAAAGGAACTAGATTTACTCTAAGAGAAATTTTACTATACATGAAGCTGCTATCATATAATCTATCCACAAAGGTAAGTATCTCCAAGGAATGTGATTCTACAACAACTCCTGGCAGTTTGTTCCTTTGAATATTTTTTTATCTAATTAATCTTAAATGTCAACAATTGACATTTAAAATCATATCTTCAGATTTAAGTAGTACATAGGTTCTTGCCCACTGAAAAACAGCTCTGATTTAAGATATTCCTATCTTGCTCCCAAAAGATTAGATAGTAAGCAGTTGAGATTTTTCTCAATACATCTAAAATGGCCCTCCATTTTAATGATAAACATCAGAGAACAGCAAATTAAAGGAGAGCTTAAAAAGAATTTTCAGTCTTTCTGTTCTGAGGAGCTTCACTTTAGTCTCCTGAATGTATCTCAAGAGGCTACTCAGAAGTGTTCAGATTCAGACTAAGAAAGCAGCTGTAATTGTTATTTCCCTTCCCCCTGGAAAAAGAGATTAATAGGTTAAAGGTGACCTTTCCATCATAAACCATTGTTTTGAAATGGGAAGGAACAATAGCTGTGAAAGTATTGTTCCTCTGGGTTCAATCAAATGATTTCAATGTTCCAGGATAGTAATGCACAGACCTACATTTTAAGGCTGCACAATGCTTCAGAACAGACATGGGTGCTCAGGTAGTGTTTCTCTGCAACTTCCTACGTCACTTTTTTCCCTGGGGTCAGGGAGTTGCTCCCCCTATACCAGGGGTAGGCAACCTTGGCTCTTTTATGACTCATGGACTTCAACTCCCAGAATTCCTGAGCCAGCATGCTGGCTCAGGAATCCTGGGAGGTGAAGTCCACGAGTCATAAAAGAGCCAAGGTTGCCTACCACTGCCCTATACTCAATGTTCACATGCCCTGGTAAAAAAAAAAAAAAAGGTGCATTCAATTTACGACATTCACACAGGTGCCTTGGATTCTGTCCTTGATGCTGAAGTGCCACACAACCCTTCTGCTCTTAGCTTTGCACACACCATACTAGCACTGTCTGGACCTTCCTCGCCTGAGAGCAACTGTCAAATGAACACAACAGTAAATAACAAGTAGCTGAACCCATTACCAAAGGATAAAGTTGAAAACACGGAGCAGCTGCCTTGTTCAGTGGGAAGTGTTTTTCAAATGAGAGAGCTTTCATTCTCACCTGCTTCCCAAACTCTCTCTACAACACTTTGCTCAGTCTCTGTTTTCTAGATATTAACTTGCACGTACTTTATAAAGAATGTAGTCAATACGAATCCCCTGGGGATAACACTGCAGTTCTTTCTTGTTGATGTAGCAGTTGGCTGGCACAAGGGTACAGCCATCTTCACAGCCCTGAGAAAAAGATCAGAGACAACAGAGACTCTTAAACACACCATTTGGAGTAGTTGCAAGAGGTGAACTGGATTTCCATCGCAGAAATCCAAACTTGGGGAAACAAAATGGGGGATAGCCAAAGGGATAAAACAGGTCACTGTACATCCAGCTTTTGAATGAGTGAAAATAATTGTTTCTGAGTCTCGATGATAATATCAGACATGGACATATTCAAGTACTTGTGCATGCAAAGATGCTCACTTTAATTTTCTCTGCAGCTATGAAGGAATCTCGCAGCCCCGTCCATCCTCTCAATAGCCGAATGCCAACATCTTCTGGGTGCATATTCAGGTCTCCTCCAAGCAGCACCACATCAGCTCCTTTGGAGGTATGCCTGGAAAGGTGGGAGAGAATCACAAAGCAAGACAGAAGAGCTTTTTTGAAGAGAGAAATATAAACGCTGTTATATGAAATGTATCCCTAATTAATAAACATCCTTCTCAATCTCTCTGGCATGAAATAAACTGAGCTTCTCCTGAGCGAAAGCTTTTAACTTTTAGCTAGCTAAAGTTAACTTTCAGGGGACCAAGGGGACACTAGTGACACAGCCCCTGTCATTGGATTCCAATACAGCACAAACTTTGTTTGAATTCTACAGCTATAATTCTTACTGTATGAACTGGCCAAGTTCCCAGGCCTGAACCACACGATGGGGCAGGTATGTATCCTTCTCTCGACAATATTCAGCATGGAGCTGGGGAAAAAAATAAATGTATAAAAATTATGTGCATTATCTATGAAATTACACAGCCATTATTCCCACACTCATTTTAGTTGCTGAATATAAAATAGCAGAAAAAAATCTTGGTTCATGGTTACAAGAGAAAGGTGGAAAGAATTTAAGTTATGTCATGAGCTTCTTCCCAAAAGTCTCATGATAAAAATGGACTTTTTGATAGGTGTAGTTAGAATTGTTTGATTAATCTTAGATCACAGGTAAATTAATCTTAGCATTAATGACTGCTTTGTC